AATTCTCTAATATTCTTGAAAATGTAGTTAATTCATAGACTAACTGAACTTTCCGAGCTTTTACAGGAATTTGTTTTCTAAAATGAGTAACATCTTGATGTACATATGAAATTAGTACACGGAAAAAAGTTTGCATGTAGTTTCCTTTGGGAACGCACATAATATTTTTTCATTAACATCACCAATGATATCTACATGAATTTCACATAACATTCATGTGATACCATGAGTTCTATTTGATAAATCACTTACATTTAATTTGACACATATGGTTCATGTGATTTTGTGACGCAATTCCCATTTAAGATATCACATGAAAGTTATGTGAAATTCTAATGAATATTTTCCATTGGAAATGTGATTTATTCTTTGAGTGTATATTTCGAGAATGAGTAAATTTTTCATTGATTTTTGTCATATTCGAAAAGATTCCTGAAACTCGGAAAATTTTACTTCGTTTTCTAGAGTTTGAGTAATTTAAACTTTAATTTGAGTAGATCTTATATGCCATATAGTATGGAAATCCGTTAGTAACTTAGTACTGGTCCTTTTGCACGCGGGCAGTGGGGGAACGAGCACATATTAGTGAGAGATTCAACTTACCACCACCTAAATATGGAGAAATCGACAATCAAAAGAGCAATTTACAAGCTTATTAATTCGATTCTAAACACTTCGTGCTCATTTTTTTCCCGATCGGAATTATGGTTCCGATGATATGAACAAAAATGTGAATTCCAGATACCACTGGGGAGTTCGCAAAAGTTTGATTAATCAAAAATTCACATTAGAATTTTACTATAAGATCAATGGTGGACATATTCAGACCCAATGATCACAATGGCCTCTTTCAGATTGTTTCAGATGATTTTTTTTAGCAGAATTGCTCTACAATACGTCTACTTAGCAGAAAACATATGATATGAGATTTACATTAACATGTTGATGATCTAGATCTCCAAAATCTCATAAAGTCATTAATTCGTATAAAACCAAAGAGTCTCCTGCAAAAAGAAAAGTCTAAATGTTATGAGGGTATGTCGAAAAAAGCATATATCAATACAAGGGACCTGAGCAGGAGATTCGCAGTATTAAAAGTTCTTCATATCATCCTGGAGGTTAGATCTTGATTCTTGAAGTCAGCGGCGTCCCGTAGCCTCACTTTTAACCTGTGTACCACCATTCAAAACCAGGTTTAATGCCATATTCATACTCGAATCATTTGAAAAATACACCTAATCTTCTAGTTTACTCGATATCTATCCATTGCAGGCAATATTTTGATGATTGTTTATGCTTTGAGAGTTGGTGCACAGATAGATTGAGGTTAAGGAAATGCCACTGATTGAAGTTGGTTAAGCCAAACAACATTTTGTGGGTTACTAAAATGTTTATCATTCTCCTAATTTTCCTGGAGATCTTGACTAACGAATGATCACTTGAAACGACAGCAGCAATTTTTCCTGGAGATTGAGAAACGAGTTTACAAGGATTGGGAGCAGATGTGCGCGTATTAGTAGTGAAAGCTTGGAATCAGTATTGTGAATGGAAGAAGTGTATAGGATTCATAAAGAGGAGTGGTGAAAGTGTGCGGTCAGCATAACATTACATTATGTTTGGAGATGAACATGATCCGTCTTAAAATTTGGTGTCATCCATCCATTAAGGGGGTATTCCCAATCTTTTGCCTTTTTTCGGCCTGTTTTTCAATTAATTTTTTTTCAAGGAAAATGAATAGTAATGCGCCTAACTCTTTGGGATTCTTGTTTATTGAACATTAAAGTTTACAAATAAAAAATTTTCGACATAAAAAAAGACATTATTGACGTTACAAAATGGCGGCAAACAGACCCCTGTTCGCCGCAAACGCCTGGACGGGCGAAGACTTTTCTCTGGAACGGCTTCATCTGAAACAGATTTCGTGATGAAATTAAAATCTGCATAAGATTCTCTGGAGCTTGTCCCGTTGGCAGCAAAAAATCTTGCAAATTAACAAAATGGCGGCCATATGAAAAAACAGGCGATTTTTAGCCCGCTTTTTTGCAGCTTTAAGGTGCTTCAAACAATGTTAAATGTTAATATTTTTGGCTGAAAGTGGGAGAAGCTCCAAAGAATTTAATAAGGAACAAAATGCGCAAAGATTCAAGTCAATATCTCTTATAGTTTCTGAGAAAAATCTTCGCCCGATAAAAAAAATGTGGTTTCGAGAAAAACGCGTTTAAAGTTTTGACTTTAGTTAAAACCATTTGGGGGTTCTTACCATTAGTCAGCTATGCCTGGACACCGAATTCGCTGATCGGAAAACGGCTTGGGGGGATGAAAGTATATAGTCTAAAGTACAAAAAAACGTGAAAAAAAAAATATGATTTTTTGAAAAAAAAGATCGGGAATACCCCCTTAAGTAAAAATTAAATTTATTCCAGTATATGACATACAATGCAATTTTAAATGCAACAATTTTCAAAAACTAAATAGAACAGGGCATCGTTTACTGTCTGTTGCCGCGGGTATTGTGGTTCAAGCTTCAGTTGGCTGCGGTAGCTCTCTGTATAGATAATGCCGAACAAGGCATCTATGTGATGTTTTGCTGTACCTGTTGTGGACATTAGTACATCCTTTTACTTAAACTTGTTGATGACGCTTTTTCTTGCCTCAAAAGTTATCCTTTTTAAAGTACCGTAAAACGGGGTAACATTGATAGTTTTTTAAAGTATATTCGAAATATTTTTAACAGCAATGAATGTTTTTCAAATTTTATATTTTTAAAACAAGTACTGAGGATCCAAGAGTTAATTTGTTAGTAATATGTTGAACGAAAATTAAAGCATTTGCACTATTTTTTTTAGTATTGTGACTGAACTTCAGTATTTTGATTTGGGGTTACTTTGATAATGCTCGATGAATGTAGAAAAAAATGAGTGAAACTCAAACAATTGAGTTCTTTTAATATGAAACTTTGAATGAGTATATAATCAGAAAACTTCATAAGCAATAAGAATACAACATTGAATATGTGATGGCTGTATCGGAAATACATTTCATAAGTGATGGTTTGAGTGCTTTTCAAAAAGGCGAAAACACGAAAATGGTTTTTTAATATTTTTTTTTAATATCACATACCGTAAACCGCCCTAATTCTGCGCACCGCCTAACTCCGTGCATTTTAAACCAAATTAATGATTTATGTCAATTAAATGCTATGTTGAGCCTGAATTGCCGATGTGTGGCATGCTTTACTGTTAGATATGTGCTGCGTTGAAATGAACAAAAATAAACATCCTGTGCCGTGTAGACAAAAAGAAAATCACTTGCGGATCCTGTCAGTCGCCATTTTTTTGCTGCGTTCGAGCGTTTGTGCTTAGAATGTGTTGTATAAACAAAACAATTTTTTTCTTTCAAAACGTGTTGTTTGCAGTGACATAGTGTACACTTTGAGTCTCGACAGGTATATTTAACATATTTCAGTGGTTATTTGAATAGTGACCTGCATATAAAGTGAAATACAGCAGAAAATCTCTTCCGTGTGTTTACTTTTCAGAATGCCGTCACGGAAAAATATGCAGTACTCACTGAAACATTTATGAACAGCACTGGCATCAATCCGGAAGGGTAACTGGATCCGTCCGGTATCTCGTTCCAGTGGAATCCTGGAGAGCACGCTGCGGGATAAATTGAAAACAACCTCCCAACAAGAGAAACCTGGAGCACCCACCGTTTTAACATACGATGAAGAAAACCGCATCGTTCTTGGGGTTTGGATATGGCCAAAGTGGGATTCCCTGTCAATACCCAGAAATTGACCGCATGTGTGGCACCTTACGTTCAAGGAAGGTAGACAAAGTTTAAAGGAGGCATTCCGAGAGGAAAATGGATGAAGCTTTTTTTTTGAAACGTCACCCAAACATAGCTCGACGTGTCCCAAGTGTGCTTCCCAAGCACCGAGCTGCTGTATCCGAATGCCAGATCAGGCACTGGTTTACCGAAATTAAAGGATACATCCAAGCGGAGGGCCACGGATATATTTTGAAGGATCCATCGAGAAGTGGTTTTAGCTGGCACAGGAACCCGTCATCTTCATGTTCGTGTTGGCAATTCCGATAAGGAGTCCTATACTGCTTTGTTTGCCGTGAAAGCCTCCGGAACATTAGCGCCAACTCTAATGCTATTTCCATACAAGCACGGATTCCCGGAGAAATTTTCAAAAAATTACCACCGGATTGGGCAGCTGGGAGAACGGAAACGGGATGGATGAATAGGGACACGTTTTATTTGCACCTTCGCGACGTGTTCCATCCATGGCTGATGACAGAGAAGATTGCTTTACCGGTTGTAGTATTTGTAGACGGCCACAAAAGCCACGTGTCCCCCCTCACTACGGAGCTGTGTCTGAAAGTAAATACAAATTATGGCTTTCAAGACCTAAAACCCAAATTGTTACTCGGGATGAGTATATTTGATTTTTCCCAGTACGATTTGGGTTTCCCGCATTTTTGCCGGCAAATCCGAATTCCCGGTTTTTCCTGGATTTCCCGGTTTTCCCGGTTGGATGGACATCCTGCTTACCTGATCCTATGAAAAAGTTCGTCATGGTTTTTTTTTTTTTTTTTTTAATTCTTTATTTAAGAGATTTTTAGCCTTAGGCTAGTTCATCTCTAGTCAGTTGTTGAGGTCTCAGAAGGAGAACCTCCTACGGAGTTGTTGGACATAGTAGGCTTAAAATGAGTTTCTCCTGACAATGCCTGGGGGGAACACCTTCATGAGGGCCAGAAGACTCATCCCATGTGATGCCCCTCCGGCTGCTGAGGCTTTAAGGTGACAGCTCTCCTGGCTCTTCACGAAGACGACAGCAAGTTCAAAATGAATAACACAAAACTGAACGAGACGACACCGTGACGAGGTCCAAAGGCTCATCCCGTGCGGTGCCGTCCAGACAGTCAGAAGAAATTAAACATATAAACAAATGAACGAGTATACAAACGAATATAACAGCTATGGCTTTCCTAGATCTCATGGTATAGGTTAGCTTCCCTGAGGAAAACTAGCAGGGCGTCTGCAGCGGCTGAATCCTCTCCGAGTAGGTTCTGGATGCTGGAGGTGATCTCATAGGATTCCCTGAGGTCCTGGAATTCAGGACAGATGCAGAGGACGTGTTCAACGGTGGCCGGGAGATGGCAGATGGCACAGCTTTTGCGGAAGGGACCTCCGCCGCCGAAATTATAGTAAAACCGACAGTGGCCAGTCCTCAGCCTTGAGAGCACTCTCTGATCCCGGAGGTTTGGGAGGTCCGTCCATGCCTCCGTGGTTCCTTTAATCTTCCGGATGAAAGGCTCTCGAGTGCTGAACCACTGGTCGGCCCAGGCTTTCTGTACGGTTGTTTTGATCCATCGCCGGAGATCTGGAAGGGGGACTTTGTCCGTGAATCTCGGACCCGCCGGTCCAGTTCCAGCAAGTTTGTCTGCTGCTTCATTACCAGGTATTCCGCAATGACTGGGGATCCATGTAAAAATGGTGCTGCTCGGGGCGTATTCGATGGTAGCTTGAATCCACGGGTGGGTGGGAACTGCTGAAGCTAGCTCTTGGATAGCACTGAAGGAATCAGTTAGTATTACGATTGGCTGGTTTGCTGGTGACGTGGCCGCATGGAAGATTGCGGCCGCTTCGGCCGAGTAAACGGAGCATTGTTGTGGTAAGCTGCTGCTAGCGAGTATGCCACTTCCGGATACTCCGATGCCAACGCCCGTGTTGGATCGGGAACCATCGGTGTACCGGTGAGTGTGTTCGGCGTAATGGGTTCGGAGGCGTTCGATTACTGTGCGACGGAGGGCCGCGGAGTTGTCTCCTGCTTTAAATCGAATTTTTTTATTTGATAGTCAATATGAATGCTGGAAGAGAGCCAGTTCTTCTCTCTGTTCCAGTGGGTCCTAGCCACTGGGGGGAGGTCAATGCTGGCGATCGTCTGCAGGATTCTGTCCCCCTCGTCGAGGAGGAAGATTCTGCCGTTTCCTGCTGTCTTGGCGGCGAAGGATGCAGCTTTGAAGATGGTAGCGTTAATGATGCGGTACCGAAAGGGTAGAACCCCTGCTTCAACACAAGCGGAATCAGCGGGGGTGGAAGGTAGAAGGCCAGAGATTATCCTGATGCTGCTGTTGAAGGTTGGACCGAGGATCTCAACCTGCTTCTCAGAGTTGATACACGTGAGCTCTGTTCCATACAGCAGCCTGCTATCGATGATAGCTTGCGCTACCCGGAAGCGAACTGCCCGATTATTAGTGCGATGGGGCCTGGAGATGGTCCGGATCAGGTTAACTCTGCTTCGGCAGTCTTTTTTGACCTGGTTGAAGTGCGGCACGAAGGAGAGGGTGCGGTCCACAAGTACCCCCAGGATACGAATGGATTTCTTGATGGGGATAGCCTGGTCGCCAATCTTAATGGCGGTCCCGTTGACCCGGTGTCTTGAAGGGCAGACGTGGCATCTGATGCTTTTTTTGGCAGAGAGCTGATAACCGGCAGTTTGGGCCCATTTTACTACGGCTGAGACCGCGGCTTGCGTGAGGTTCCGGGTGCGTGTTGTGGTGGGCCCCGTTACCACGATGAGGACATCGTCGGCGTACACAAAGATGCGGATGTTCTTTGGTAACTGGCGGAAGATTCCGTTCATCGCGATAAGGAAGAGTGTGACGGAGATCACTGATCCCTGGGGGACCCCCGTTTCCTCCTGAAAGCTCCTGGATTTGGCATTTCCGATAGCAACATGGAAAATACGGTCAGTGAGGAAGTTCCGAACGAAGTGGACCATGTGTCCGTTAAGTCCCCAGCTGACGAGTTTGGCAAGTACAGCCGGAGTCCAGGTCCTGTTAAAAGCCTTAGAGATGTCTAGTGAGACCATTTCAGTGTGGTGTCCCTGGTCGAAGGCGTCTTTCAGCACGTCTCCCAGTGTGGCGAAATAGGTAGAGGTGCCGAATCCTGACCTAAAGGCGTGTTGTCGATGGTCGAGAAGATTGTTGGTCTCCAGGAATGTCCTGAGTCTGCGATTAACCATCCAGTTCGTCATGGGGTTTCCTCTCGGGTTCCCTTTGATTTAACTCGACTTTTTCCACATTTTTACGACTCTTATTCAGGTACAAAACGGCGAAAATGGCTGTTTCGTTCAGCACTAAAACTGCACCCGGAGGTGGGTGTTCTCGAATAAAAAGGATAATGGAATAGGATAGAAACACACTATCCGACACTTTTGCAGTGACAGTGACTATAGACAGTCAAGTTATAGACCGGCCAACGTGAGTTGACGTATCCAAACAAACCGTCAAATCGTATGGAAAATGTTCGTTTTGGATACAACATGGCAGCACATTGACAGGTCTATAGCTATGACCGTTTATAACAGTGACAGCTCGTTCGTGTGGTGGATTTGAAAACGTGCGAATTTCTTATCCGTGTTGCAAAATGCATCGCACGTATAATTTGATTACAAAAGTCTGTGAAAAAACTAAAAAGTCTGTAAATGTATTTAACGAAAAAAAATGTCTGTGAAAAAAAAATAAAAGTCTGTATATTCACAGACATGTCTGTAAATCTGGCATATTTGATGCTGACGCAGCTGAAACAGCTGCATCTGATGAGGATGGGTATAGAAAAATTAGGGGTAATTTCGAACGAAATTACGTGAAGGTGTATGGGTTTATCGCTTCTAAACTTAAACCAGAACCTACTGCATCGTCGTCAAATGTCGTGGCACCCAGGGTTACACTTGCTGACTAATCATTCGCTCGAATAAGGTTACCAGAAGTAAAACTAGCAAATTGGCTTACCTTTCGTGATGCTTTTGTAAGCCTGATCGATAGTAACCCTCAACTGAAACCAATTGACACATTTTCGTACCTTATTTCCTCTCTGTATAAGGAAGCGAAACGGGTGATTGAGTCGACTGAAATCACCTCAGTTGATTACTCAGTAGCTTGGGAACTACTTGAGAAGAGGTTTGATAACAAGAAACTTGTCTTGAAGACATATATTGAGTCTTTGCTTTCCATAGAATCAATGCGCTAGGAATGCTACGAATCCTTGGTGCGTATCATCGATGAATTCGAGCGCAACTTAAACATGATCCAGAAGATGGATGTCCAGACCGAAGGGTGGAGTGTTCTTCTCGCGCATATGCTTTGCGCACGCTTGGATTGCGCAACGCTTAAGCACTGGGAACAGCATCACAAATCTACCGAAGTTCCAAGGTATGAGGATGTGATTGAGTTTTTGCGCGGACATTGTTCTATCCTGCAGTCTGCCCAAACCCGAACCATGTTACACTTTTCGAAGTTATGCCGACAAAAATGCGTAAACAATTGCCGAAGTTACCGTGTATACTTTTAATAAAAGCAACCAAATCTTCAATGCAACATCATTATCCCTTCCTTCTACACGACGTCACTGGAGAGGTCCATAGAAATGGATTTATCTCATTCTCGCACAGTCGCACCCGTCGAACAATTAGCCCGAGATACAATAGGACGGCAATTGCAAGGATTGAAATCTGGCGTGTGGTTGGTTTCAGCCGGTGATGCCTGAAATTTGTGAGTTTTCCTAAACCTTTGGTTTGTTTTTTCCGTCGATCTTGTTTTCCGTGCTTAGCACCAATGCTACCGACGTGCCAGGAAGGCAGCTCCCACACATGGACCCTACCTATCGACCCATCAACTCATGAACCGGGGACCAACGGCTTTACTTCCCATCCGAAGGAAGGCGTGATCAGAGATGTTATGCCTCAGAACATCCCAGCGGCGCCGACTGGTATTGAACCCAGGCCTGCTGGGGTGAGAGGTAATCACGCTTACCACTACACCACCGGCGCCGTTAGTTTTCCTAAACGAACAGACGTTAAAAGTGATCTAATATCACTAAGTGATAGTGAGCTCGCTGAATGTTCAAACGGTCCCAGAGATCGACAGATTCGATGTGCCGTAAATGAATGCGACACCCGTACAAGACACGTGCATGGTAAATTCGCTAAAGCTGCATAACTCGCCCAGAGAGGTAACGAATATTTTTGCATAGTACACAGCATTCTTACGAACTCCTTACAGTATTGCATGTACTTCTGGAACTCGAGCTACTCAAATCGGGATATCTACGAGAGGGCTCTCCAAACCGTCACCGTTTTGACAATCGGAGGACAATAGGTCAAGATGACTCAAACACGCCATTAGGTAATACGAAGTCATTCATGCAAATTTGGATTAGTACCAATTTCCGATTTTACAGTACGATCGTCTACGTTATCTAATGATCGAGATCATCCAGCCTGCGACAAAGAGATACCAAAGGCTCTCAGAAGGTAACCTGATCATTATCAGTGATGACCAATGACTGGCTAACGCAGTGCCACCTCTACAGAGGGCCTTTATTTACAGCCTCAGTTCCTCACGAGATCACCTGACGATCGTACCCTGTCGAGCAGACCATCAAGAGTCGCCTCAAATTGCGCCACCAGATACTATTGTCTCGTCAGCGCATTCCAGTGGATTGCCAGGAGCGATAAATCCACAAATCGGTGATAGTTCACCAAGGCGGCTGAGTGCAGCGGTGCGGCACACAAGGCAATAGTGCGACGCGCACAGACGGGGCAACGGGAGGCAGTGGACAGTGCGACGATAGACTGCTGCGTGACAAGCGCTGATACACTAGTGCCGTGGGGCTACAGAGGAGTGTGACGGTTGCATACCGAGCGTCAACACGGTGTGGCTCGACACCGATACGGCGACTGTTTGTTGTCGCGCGATAAACGGCGGTTCATCCACGCAACAGTGACGTTGTGGATCTACTGTGCAACGAAGGGCAACGACCTGATTGCGCGACACGGCGGTGCATCAGCAACATGAGCATGCAGGTGAAGCAGCATCACGGGCCCCAACGATACGCGTTAGGAAGAAGACTAATGTATGTATGTCTGTAGTAATAAGCTTTTAAGAGATGCACATTATATCGTTAAGTAGCAAAATCCTGATGTTATCGTTCCGTGATTGAATGAAATCATCCTCGTTTCATTCCCGGCCATCTGTAGCTAGTACACTTTATTAATCGTGAGTGGCTAGCAGGCCCGAATAAGAGCTTTGAGTGTGCAATTGCACCGAAGGACCACTTCTCCCTTTTGTGGTACAGATTCCGTCATTAGCACTATTAATTGACTTTGATTGCATTGAGTTTCGACATTCCTGTCGTATCTTGGACAATTTCTCATAGTTAAAGAGAAAATTGTAACAACCAGTTCGGTCGCAGAAACCAAAGTTTAGCCATGCAGTAACTACTAACTAATCATCGGGGCCTCCCTTAGCTTAGTCGGTAAAGGCACAGCTACAAAGCAAGACCATGATGGAGGTGGCTGGATTTGATTCCCGGTCCGGTCTAGGAATTTTTCGGGTTGGAAAATTTCTCGACTTCCCTGGGCATAGCCTATGATTGTAATTGCCACATAATTATACTAATGCAAAAATGGTACAGGCATCGAAAGCTCTCAATTAATAACTGTGGAGGTGCATCTAGAACACTAAATTGAGAGCACGCAATAAGCTAATACACTGAAACCTCCGTTTACGAAGTCTTTTTTTACGCAGTATTCAATTTACGTCCCTCTTTTTACGAAGTAAATTCCAAATAACGAGTTTTTTTTTGTGATTTTGGGAAACTGGGATATATTGTGAAATACCTCACAATATGGGTATTGTTGGAATCGGAGTGACGTGTATGGACCGGAAATCTATGTCTGACGCCATTTTAAAATCCAAGATGGCGGCCTCCGCTTACAGGAAAACTTGAACATTCTGCCAAATACCCCACAATATGGGTATTTTTGGAATCGGAGTGACGTGTAGAGACCATAAATCAATGTCTGAAGCCATTTTGAAATCCAAGATGGCGACTTCCGGTAACAGAAAAACTTGGAAATTCTGCCAAATACCCCCACAATATGGGTATTTTTGGAATCGGAGTGACGTATAGGGACCGGAAATCGATGTCTGACACCATTTTGAAATCCAAGATGGCAACTTCCGGTTACAGAAAAACTTGGAAATTCTGCCAAATACCCCCACAATATGGGTATTTTTGGAATCGGAGTGACGTGTAGGGACCGGAAATCAATGTCTGACGCCATTTTGAAATCCAAGATGGCAACTTCCGGTTACATAAAAACATGGAAATTCTGCCAAATACCCCACAATATGGGTATTTTTGAAATCGGAGTGACGTGTAGGGACCGGAAATCAATGTCTGGCACCATTTTTAAATCCAAGATGGTGACTTCCGGTTACAGAAAAACTTGGAAATTCTGCCAAATACCCCCACAATATGGGTATTTAAAAATCGGGGTGACGTGGTGGTATTTTCCAATTTTTTTAATGTTACTTTTATGTTTTTATGTTACCGGAAGTCGCCATATTGAATTTCAAAATGGTGTCAGACATTGATTTTCAGTCCTAATAAGTCACCCCGATTCCAAACAACACATATTGTTGAGTATTTTACAGTATTTCCCAGTGTTTCTGTAACCGGATGTCACCATCTTGAATTTCGAAATGGCGTCAGACATGGATTCTCGGTTCTCACAGGTCACCCGATTCCAAATAAATCCATATTGTTGTGTATATAACGGTATTTTTCTGTTTTCCT